CAGGAATGTTCTCTCCTGGTTCTCCTGAATAACCAGGAATGTTCTCTCCTGAATAACCAGGAATGTTCTCTCCTGGTTCCCCTGAATAACCAGGATGTTCTGTCCTACTCCAGCTGGATAACTGGGAGTGTTCTCTCCTGGTTCCCCTGAATAACCAGGAATTTCTCTCCTGGTTCCCCTGAATAACCAGGATGTTCTGTTCTGCTTCACCTGAATCACCAGGAATATTCTCTTCTGCTCCACATGGATAATCAGGAGTGTTCTATTCTGGTTCCTCTGAATAACCAGGAATGTTCTCTCCTGAATAACCAGGATGTTCTGTCCTGCTCCAGCTGGATAACCAGGAGTGTTCTGTCCTGATTCCCCTGAATAACCAGGAATGTTCTCTCCTGATTCCCCTGAATAACCAGGAATGTTCTGTCCTGAATAAGCAGGAATGTTCTCTCCTGGTTCTCCTGAATAACCAGGAGTGTTCTCTCCTGGTTCTCCTGAAGAACCAGGAATGTTCTCTCCTGGTTCCCTCCAAGCTCAGTGCTGGAGATGGGCAGGGCAGCACAGCCAGGGCCATTTCCATTTTTTGGAGGGAATTCCTCAGGTGAAGAACACCTGGCAGCCCAGGAAATAGCATTTTATCCCTCCCAGTGCAGAAAATTGTACAGAGGCAGGTAGGAGTTGGGAGATGAGTGGCAGCTGAGGCTCAGGGCTGGGACAGTGAGGGATGGGTGGAAGCATCCCTGTTCTCCCTTCCTCCCTTCCTGTGGAATCCTGGGCAGCTCCTGGCTGGGGGAATCCTCTCCTGGATGTGTTCATCCATCTGCCTCACTCTGGGAGGGAAATGCTCCACCTTTCCTTGAGCATCTGCCACTGCTGCACCTCCAAATGGGCAATTTCATCAACCTCATCACTGCTGTAATTACCAAATCATGGAATTAGCACACAGCTGCTTCTGGGCAGTGGCTGTTCCCAGCCCGTGGAGCTCCCTTGGGCCAGGTGGGACTTTCAAATAATCAAAGTTTAGTGTGAACATCTGAATTTAGCCTGGATAAACTTCCACAAAAATCTGCCCGTCATCCATCTAAGTGCAGGAAATCAACCAAATCAAATAAATGAAAGTATTTCTTCAGCGAGGCTGGGAGGAAATTGTCACATCAGGAGAGGAGAGAAGTGAGCCCCAGCTGTGGGTGTGCTCCTGGAGCTGCCCTGCATCAGCATTCCCATGGGAAGCTGCTTTTTGGGATTATTTCTCCTGGTTCTCAGACCTGTGGTGATGCAGAATGGAGGCTCACCCTGCAAATGGACTTTGCTTGGTTTGTTTTTTTTTATTTTAGATCCTGGATATAAAAGGAAAATGTATTGAATTTGCATTCTGACACGTTTTTACTTCCTTTATGAAGTGTTAGTTTCATTTTATCCTGCATCAAAATATTCCAAGAGCTTGTCTGCAGGAAAAAGTGGGAAAAAATTTGTTTCCCTTGTTTCATTTCAGCATTTTCAAATGGTAAAACTTGTCATTGCTGCATTTTCTCATCACCTTTTATCTTTCTTTCATAGAAAATAAAAACTGTTTGATGTCCATGGAAGGTCCAGGTGTAAATTCCTCTTTTCATGCATTGTCTTGGATAATTTTGGTGCTTTTATTGGATGTGAAATTATTCTCTTTATTTGCAGCCCTGTAGAATATTAGAAAACTTTACAATATGTTGTAGATAGATTTAAAGTACAGTTTGTTTATTTATTGTTTATTAATCAACATCTAAATTTGCTGGAGGAGAGTTGGGAGCAAGAACTGGAAAGGAAATGGAAATAATATTTAGATAATTTAGACAAAACTAAAATCAATAGACTAAAAGATATCTAAAAATAGATAAAACTAGAATCAGTATATCTAAAAATAGAGAAACTAAAATCAATAAATTAAATTAATAAATTAAATTAATTTAAATTAAATTAATACATTTTAAAACATTTAGATAACATTTAGATAATTTAAATACCAGAAAATTTGGCTGAATGGAAAATGTACAGAAATATTCCAAACACCACTGGCAACATGGAGCAAATCCGGATAAAGTTGATTTTTATAGTTCCAGCAGCAGCTCGCTGATCAGGATGTCCATGAACTCCTCAGGACTGTGCACTTTTCATGGAATAACAACTTGGGCATTGCCTGCAGAAGGATTTTTCTGGTTTCTTTCCCTGGAACATCCATGGGGGTGGAAGATTGGCAGTGCTGGTGCTGGGGGAGGAAGGAGCTGCCAGGCTGGAGTTGTGCCAGCCCAGGGCTGGATTGGCTCCAGCCATCCTCACCAGAACCCAACCAAGCAACCAGCCCAGGGAAACAATTCTCCACACACATTCCACGTGGGAAAAACAAGGGGCAGAAATAGAAATTGTTTTCTCTTTCTGCCAGAGCTCACCCTGGGTCAGGGGTGGCTCCGTGTGGTGGAAAA